CCTAAATAAAATGTTTTTAACTGTGTACCAGTTTAACATTGAATATTATTTATGATTTTAATGCTCTGATACCTTAAAGAATTTTTACAAAAAAGAAATGAAGAATATTTTAGAAGTGCTATGATAACTTCTTCACAGAGCGTCATATCATGTTCCATGTTAGTTACTCTTACACATTATTGTCATTGTATAAACCTCATTCTAATGGTACTTTTGTTAATGACTGTGCAAACAAAATCTGATGAAGGGCTTAGGCTTGAAACGTTTTAGAATAAATCACTTTCTAGATTAACATCTTTTTAAGTTACCATTTTTTCATACTTTCTCATGTTATTAACCAACAGAAAAAATAATAGTACACTTTTCTTATGTTCTGATGTAATTCTTGATGCAATTAAACTTGGAGAAAGAAAAACATTGTGATTTTGTATTTCATGTATTTCCTATTGTAATTAAACTGAATAAAAATATTGTTTTGCATCTTAACATAAGGTTTGAATGTAATTAAATAGTACAAAAATTAAGACTATGTTTGCATTTTTATGTGGTTCTTGATGTAATGAAACTTAAAAAAATTGTCTTCAGATGATTACTGAACTGAAAAAATTTACGTTTATTTATATCCTCATAATTATATTTCTTTGCATATTTAAAGTAGAAGAATGTTTTCTTATATCTTGTATAATTACTGACATATTTAAACTACAAAATATGTTATTGTCTTTTATTAAATTGCATAATTTTAATTCCTTATTTCATCAATTTCTGAAAAATGATTACACTTTGTGTGTAATGTAATTTGTGACATAGTTATCATAAAGTACTGTCATCCCATTTTGTTCCATAAAATTACAGATAAGTGATAATTATATTTGTATCTCTGCAAAGTAAATTTCTGTCAGAAACTACAAAAACAAACTACATCCTGTTTTTTCTTTTGATAAATATACACAGCCAAAAAACTAGAGTTCTTTGCTTTTTTCTTCTTCTTTCCTGTATGAATTGTGTTTTAGATTAAGTTTGAACTTTATTTTATTAATCAATTAATGTTTTCTATTATCCAGGGTTTACTCAAGGTGATGTTGGCCTTGCTATGGGTAAGCTATATGGAAACGACTTCAGTCAGACAACCATATCCCGGTTTGAAGCACTCAACCTTAGCTTCAAAAATATGTGTAAGCTGAAACCACTTTTACAACGCTGGCTGGATGATGCTGATGCATCTCTTAGCAACCCAGCATCTCTCACTAATGCCAACACCTCACCAGATGCTGTTGGGAAGAGGAGGAAGAAGAGAACCAGTATTGAAACCAATGTGCGGGTAGCACTAGAACAGGCATTTAACCAAATGCCCAAGCCAACATCAGAGGAAATTACTATGCTTGCTGAATCCCTGTGTATGGATAAGGAAGTAGTACGTGTGTGGTTCTGCAATCGTCGCCAAAAACAGAAGAGGATAAACCCACCAACTTCAATGATTGGTCCATTTCCAACCATAACTTCTTCTGTAACCCCTACAAACCTCTCTGTAGCTGTTGCTGCTGCTGCATCACTTGGTGTATCATTAGACACCACTTCCCCAAGCTCTTCCCTTCCTGTGACATCAACCGCATCGTCTGTGAGCCGTGTTCGTGCTGCTCTTACACCCATCAGTTCTGCTCAACCTGCTAATTTGTTTTCTATGACCCCTTCCATTGCTCGAAATATGATAATGGCACACCCTAGCACCACAGTATCACCTGCAATCAAAACAGAATAGACAATGCTTATTGTTTAGATAAGAAAAAACATCTTTCAGATTGTTGGTTGTTTCAAGTGCGGATATTTCTCTTCATGAGTATTTGCCATATTATAGTTCCTAGGGGGGGTGGTGGTTATGGCAGAACCTCACCAGGAAAGATTTTAAACGGGTACATATAAATATATATGAATATATCAGAAAAGAGGGGTGGGAACTCCATCAGTAGTGGACACCAGTAAACAACAAAGATACCTCGATTCAAGATGAATAGGGGTGGAAACTCCATCAGTAGTGGACACCAGTGAACAACAAAGATACCTCGAATCAACATATAGATGACAGTACTTCAAAACTAAATACCTCAGTGTCAAACTGTGAAAGTACAGTTAATAAAACTAGAGACATACCTGAATTCAGCTTTGACTCAGGGAACACATTATTTTATTCAAGCTAAGCAGATGGTTTACCTTATAGCCAGCCTTTTATACTTCATGGATTTACGGCTTTGAACTGTAAGCTGACACTGCAATTTGAAATATACCACACTTACTTACACTTATCTCTTAGTAGAGCCACAAACAAAAACTTTAAGTTTATCTATCCTCCTCATTATTGAAAGAAATTCAAATGAAAATTGTTTTTTGCTATTAGTACTTTGTACTTAGCATTTTTAATAATTTGTTATTTGTTGATTTTGTTTTTAATTTTCTTCCCCAAACTTTTACCAGTGCAAAAATAGCTGTAAAAGGTCTATCTAAATCTTTAAAGTTGTTATGTGTATCAAAACATAATATTTTTGTGATTGTGGAATAATTTTCAAATTCTTTGTTATGGATTTTTTGAAAACTAAGCTGGGCTTTAGGGGTTAGACCATAAATTTTGGGTATACCTATATCAATACTTAGTGTTTCCTTTGTGAGTTGTGTTGATATAGAAATGGTATGTTGTTAAATTGTTGTTCAGTTACAGCTTAAACATAAACGTTTCTTGTGATTGTTTGTACATATTTCATTAGTTGGGTGTGTATTTTGAATAAGGTGATAGCTTTAAAATGGTTTGATTTTTATATAGCCTGAAATTTCACATAGTACTGTTGTATATCACAGGCATTTAGTCTATAATTGTCGTGTGCACTTAATCAAATCATCATATTACTGTTCATCATATTTGTGTCCATTTTAATCTGTTTATATATGAAGGATTGTTAATCAAATGGAGCAGGTGTTATAGGGTTTGTCCAGAGCATGTTTGTGATTATCTTGTTCAGGTAATTAACAAGCTCTATATTTTTGTCGTGGTATTATTTTTATCCAACTATGTTATCTGATCCAGCCTGAGAGCTAAATGTGTTTTTCATCATTATTACTATCTCAGGGTTGAACTGTTAATGTAGTATTTTGATTATTGTTCCATATTGTAGGCAAGCTATTATCCTAGATTGTTTGTTTTGTTATAGTTCTGGTACAAGTGCTGACAGAGTTTTCTATAAAGTAAACAACTATATATGGATTGTCGTTAAACAAAGAAAAGAACAATTTCTGGTGGCAACAACTCTACAAAAATCATGTGACGATACCTTATTTAGTAACAATAATAAAAGCTCAATAACTAAATCATTTGCAAAAGTCTGTGAAACTTAGTATAATATTGGCAATATATCAGTCAGGTTTCAGGGTTCTTTGGGTTAAAATCTATTTTTCATATTAGCTATAAGACAACACTAGGTTCTCTGGTTAATAATACTTATTGTTTTGAGTCTAAAGAAAATGCCATTGCAAGCATTTTGGAGTGACCCACACAACCAACAGAAGCTACTGCTTTTTTTGCTTTATATCTATATATATATAAATGTGTCATTGAAGTTAGTTAAGATTAAATAATGTATTTTGGCTAACTTTAAACATTTATGAAAAATTTTGGTCACTTGTTTAATCTTTATTTCAAGTTATTTGTGAAGTGTTTTTTTGAGTTGTTTTTTACCTTACTAAGCTGTTGGTGACATTAGTTAACAGAAATCATTTGTCATGTAGTCAGTTGTCTCTTATATGGTTAAAGAAGAAGATTCCTAAAGTATTGTACTTGTTTATTATCAAATGTTACCTACTTATATGTATGGTTTTATTCAGAACGTTTAGACTTGTATTACAAACTGGAGTCAAAAGCTGGTCACCAAACTTGCCAATCTCCCAGTAGAAATGAGTGGATTGCTTTCTTGGTACTTATATAAAGCTTTATTTGCATGTGAATGTTTTTGTTAACCAGTATATATAAGATTAAAGTTGTTTTAACCAGGGAGGGGTAACAATATCAGGGGTTTCAAGTGTCTTAAGGCCTTCCTTGTGGTGCTTGGTCATGGTTCCTAAAGACAAGTCAGGTTGCAAATCCCAGAACATGTGGTTGGAGAAATATATTCTATTTTGGCGTAAAAATTATTTAATCCCACAGTGTTTTTCTAGGATTTGATACCTGGCTGACTTGTACATGTAATACTTCTGTACAAGACACCAGTAATATTGATTGGTACTTGTCAGGGTTGGGAATATGTTTTTTACTGCACCTCCTCTTCTCCTACACAAAGAGGGATGAGTGGGCTGGGTAGTGGTGGTTTGAAATGCACAGCTTATGTTAGAGATTTAAAAGTCTACCTCAAGCTTTTACAAATCAAAATTAGTGTATCCTTCCTGCTTAATCTTTTTGTGATTGTGATTTTTATTAAAGTATTGGTATAACATCTACAACTTGGTTATGTGATCAGGTTGTTATGCATGGCTGACAAGGTTTCCCTGAGCAGATATGACTTCTGTGTGTGTATGTGTCTATAAGTCAGTCTTGTCATTTTCAGCTGCTTGTTGTTGTCATTTCATGCTGACTCATTCATCATGTTTCTATGTTGTTATTGAAGTGAAAAATAACACTTTTCACATAAAATATCTTTAAAGACCAACTTCAATTACACAAAGTGCTAAGTGTTGAAGATAACTAATGAATGTAAAACCATTTGAACTATATATATATCTGTGTGTATGTATAGCTAGGCTTCACACACTGCTCTACAGAATAGTTAATACTCACTTACTATAAGAAAAGATTTTAAGTATACCATGTAGTTTTGTAATATAACAATCTGTCTTCGTATTCACTGGCACCAGCAGTATTCTACCTCTCCTTCCCGTTCCATGCAACTTTAGGGTTGTGAGGTAGTTGGGAGTTACACCTGGAGCCCACCCCAAACTACACCATATTCTGAAGTGCCAGGCTCTCCATGTGTAGCACCTGACACCTACTCTAACCCTTCTAGATGTTAGTGTAGTAAAAAGTTAGTTAATGTCTGTACGAGAATGTGTATATTTTTCTTATCGTGGATACAAATAAAATTGTACAGGAGTTTAGAGAAAGAGAAGTGAATTTAAGCAAGTGAAAATTGTGTTGACAGATTCTTCATTCTATGTATATATTTGTGGAGGAGATATCTTAATATTTGCCTGCCTGCTAAGACCCATTTAGATGTCGTGTTACATATTAGGGTCTTAGCCTAGCTTTTCAGGGTGAGGGGCTATCTCCTTCACGTGGCAGGAATACCCCAGCCATCAAATTCAGGGACTTTCTCATTCCTTTTTTATTTTGAAATACAAGTAGGGTTTGTGTTTTCTGCCAACTAGAAAATGTTTAGAAGTTTTAGAAAGGCAGCATAACACCGCTCTTTGTTGTGTGTCCGTACTATGATTGATAGTATGTGTAAGAAGCAGTCGGCTTTAAACGCTTATTGTATGATCACCTAGTCAGAGCCGGGAAATTTTAAAATCGACATTTTTTTAAAGTTCTTATTTGTTAGCTTTTTTTCATCACTTTATAGGTTTGATAACATTCTAACTGTTGGAGTGGATAATCTAGTAAAAGACAGCCCATCATATGAACGGGAGGGAACATTTTCTGTCACCAATATTTTCTAGGAGAAAAGCACAAGTTTTGACTTATATAAAATGAACATTTTGTTTTGTTTGTTTTCTGTAGACTGTGAATTTGTCATGAATAAAATCGTGTTTTGGTAATATCCAGATAAACCCGATGTCCCTGTAATTGGGCTGTTAACATCCTGTTGCTTTGTTATGTTGAACTTGTATGTGTTAAGGGCAATAAACTGAAGGCAGGTTTCGACAAGTTCCCTAGTTGTTCTTTATAGTAGACAACTACGTTAGCGTTATTTATTTATTATTTCCTGTTTAGAATTTTTACATCTTAACAATATTGTTTAATACCTTCAGTGAAAGTAAACTTAACATTTAAATATTATATACAGTATTTTTTACATACGTTTATACTCTAAATACTACTATCATATGAACTAAACCGTTTGAGCAGCGAGTCCTTTACTTTAAAAGATATCTGAGTAATATATTAGAATCGTAAAATTGATTATTCTGCTTTAATTGTAACAGTTTTGGTTTTGATTCTAGAAAAACATTAGTAAGAAAATAATATCTAAAAAATTCGTTTTCACTGATGATAAACATTTAGTTAATTCCACGTTGGGGTGGGGGTGGGGTTCAAGACTTAATTAAAAGTATTGTTACGTCTCCGTTTGTTAATTAACTTTCCGTAACTTCGTTCCGACGAAACTTTAGCGATACAAGTCTACTTAATAAAACTGGTTTATTCTTTCCGAATACAACTTTACGATACACTTATTTTCAACAATCGCTCTATAGCAAACGCTATATCAACGAACGTCAACAATACTTCTGACTGCAGTTCAATTACTCACACACATTATTGTCCCGTCACGTTGCCACCCTCTTTTATATACCAGACTATCCTATATCTAGTAAATGCTATAGCATTCGCCAAGGTACAGGATAATTCTAGAAAATAGGTGGCGCCACACCAGTCACGTGTCCTCGATGACGCAACACTGCCCCCTCCTTAGTATTGTTCGTCCCGAACAATAGCCACTTACAATAACCCAATAACAATTAACAATAACTTAATTAAAATGTACAGAATTACAAACGCAAAATTACAATTCAACAAAGTCTCTTAATTTTACGGGACGTATCTTCTTCTGTACTGGTCTCCGTCTCATTGGCTTCTGCTTCATGTGGGATTCATCTGCTTCATCAGTAAATGTCCGTTCGTCAGTAACAGTCACATCAGTGGTAGTAACTTCATCAAGAGCTTCACCGTTTCCCTTCTCAAAACTGAGTAGAGTTTCTTCTTCGACGGTGGCTTCTTCAGGTGGCACGTCTTCAGTAGTATCTTTTGTTCTGTTGTCCACTTCGTCCCAACTGAAATTTCCTGGACCGTGATGGCGCCAAAGCCTGTTGGCATGCACCACTTTTGGCTTACCTCGCCGACCACATTTTACCCGGAAAGT